AATAAACTAGACCAGCGCAAGTTCCGGTCAGTTAGAGAGCTTACGACTACCGTTGAGAGCCTGATCCTCGTCCCGGGCATCAACTACAGTGACCAGTTCCTGTTAACTACTTTCATTAGATGTCTTCCAGAGAACATCAGGAACTTACTAGCCAGTGAGGCACGCACCGAGTACCACTCATTTGAGACATTGTCTAGGAAGGCTTTAGATTTGGAGGCCACGCTAGGCAATGCTCAACCCACCTCAGGAAATGACTCAACGAAGAAGAAGAGTCCTCAGGAGTGGAAGAAGAAGGGGGCGAAGTTGATGATGGTGGAGTCTGATGGGACTCAAACAGAGATTGACGAGCTCTCTGACCTGGTGGACTACACAGAGTTCGACGGCGAGGAGATAGCTGAGGGTAGCACCCTCGCCGCAGTAGTAAAGACTAAGGCAGGTGGTCGAGGGAAGGGCTAGCCTAGGGGTCAAGGGAAGGCCGCCTCCAATCAAACCAAACAGGCTGAGTGGGTAAAGGCAGGTCTTGATCAAGACGTGTGGCGTGACCGCCGAATGCGTGGCGCTTGTATCAACTGCGGAGAATACGGACACACGCAGTGGAAGTGTCAGAACGCTAAGGTTACGCAAAAGGTTGCGCCAAAAGTTGGGGCAACTTATTCCCAGGCTTCTAGCTCGGGAAACACGTGAGGCCAATGGAAGTAGTAGCTGCTTCTACTCAAGATGAAGTAGGAATGATACCCTCCCTACTTCATGAAAAGGCCAAGGCTAATGACCCCTTAGTCACCCCGCAGACACAACTAGACCAAACTATGCTCTGTACGTTAGATGTGTCTGAAGCCTTAGAGGACTTGGAGAGTGAGTGGTCAAACAAGGACCCTCGCGAGTCTTGGGTGGCGCTGAGGAAAGGTCCTAGAGGGGAACATTTCGTGGTGGAAGTGGATGAAACAGGCCTCAAATGTGGTGCCTTCATAGACAACGGATCCATGCGAAATTATATAAGTCGCGATTGTTTGGAAAGGCTGCACCTACAGGACCGGGTACGACACCTTAGTAGACCAGTAGCATCCACTTTGGCCAACAAAGAGCGCATGATTGTGACAGACTACATCAAGGACGTAGTTTGTACCTTCTCCTACGGAGGAGGAGAGCTTAACCATAAGATCTCGTTCTTGGTTAGCGACGACTTGCCATTCGAAATGTTGTTAGGCATGTACTACCTCGAAGTTGCTAAGCCCCAGTTCGACTGGGATAAGAAGGTGCTCAAGCATAAGTTGCCCGATGGCCGAACTGTCAGATTGACTAAGGAGGAGAGCTTAACCATCGAACAGATCAGGGAACTTAGCAACGACGCGTTCTATCTCTGGGGGTGTTTTAACGGCCTCCCCCTTCTCAGAGACATAAACAAGGTACATACCCTCCTCTTCGTTTTGCTTGTAATAGTTGTAGAACGCTGATGCACACAAGCAGCCATAGGTATCTACAGTACTGCTGGCCTTGAACTTAGTCAATCTGACAGTTCGGCCATTGGGCAACTTATGCTTGAGCACCTTCTTAAGTCGAACTGGGGCTTAGCAACTTCGAGGTAGTACATGCCTAACAACATTTCGAATGGCAAGTCGTCGCTAACCAAGAACGAGATCTGAGTTGTTGATAAGGAAGTCGTCCACGCTATAGAAATCATTCCAGGGAGTAAGACCCCAAAGGGAAGCATCTATAGGATGGCTCCTGCCGAGTTAGATGAACTTCGGAAGCAACTAAAGGAGCTGACAGAGAAGGGATGGATTCGGCCTAGTACTTCCCCTTACGGATCACCTGTGCTATTCGTACCGAAGAAGGGGGGTACTTTGAGGATGTGCATTGATTATAGAGGCCTCAATGCCATCACTGCGAAAAACGCAGAGCCTCTACCTCGCATAGACGACCTATTGGATAGAGTGCAGGGATGCAAGTACTGTAGTAAGATAGACTTGAAATTCGGATATCACCAGATCGCAATAAGACCTGAGGACCAACACAAGACAACTTTTCAGACTAGATATGGTCTGTATGAGTTTGTAGTGATGCCTTTCGGTCTTTGCAATGCGCCGGGTACATTCCAGCACGCTATGAATCGGATCTTCCATGACCATTTAGATAAGTTTGTCGTGGTTTACCTAGACGACATTCTGATCTTTAGTAAGTCTGCCGAGGAGCATGCACAGCACGTTGAGACAGTTCTCTCACTCCTGCGACAGCACAAGTATAAGGTCAACTTAGAGAAGTGCGAATTTGGCCGCACTAAGATACTATATTTGGGTCACGAAGTATCCGCGGAGGGAATTAGGCCGGCAGATGCGAAGGTGGCTAGTATTCGAGACTGGCCACGACCTCAGACAGTCATTGAGGTCAGGTCATTCTTGGGAATGTGCGGCTACTATAGAGACTTCGTAAAGAACTATTCTACAGTCGCCTCTCCTTTGACTGATCTAACTCGACTTGACACACCGTGGGACTGGAGTGATGAGTGCGAGGGTGCTTTCAAGAGATTGAAGCATGCACTCATGAATCATGAGGTCCTCATGGTTCCCGATCCTCAGAAGCCATTCATAGTGACCACTGACGCAAGCCAATAAGGCATTGGCGCAGTGCTGGCTCACCAGGATGGGAAGAAGTTGAGACCGATTGAGTACATGAGTAAGAAGATGCCATCAAAGAAGTTGGCTAAGTCCACGTACGAAAGGGAACTCTATGCTCTCTACAAAGCACTTGTCCATTGGAGACATTTCCTGCAGACCCTCAAATGGATCAAGACTCAACCGGCCCTTTCTGATGCACTCAAGCGATGGATTGAGGTCATAGACCAATATGACTTCAAGCTTGAGTACCTGAAGGGAGAGTATAACAAGGTTGCAGACGCGCTATCCCGTAGAGCAGGCTACCTAGGTGCGCTAGCTTTTGAATTTGGCGTATCAAATGAAGTAACTCAATCATTGGTGGGACCCTATCAGGAAGACCCCGTCACGATGGACATCATCCGCAAACTTCAGGCAAAAGACAAGGCCACAGAAAGTGAGTTTGTGATGGTGGATGGGCTAATCTATCTTGATAAGGCCGGAGTAAAGAGATTGGTAGTTCCATCTAGTGAACAGTTGCGTAGTTTATTTTTAGGCGAATGTCATGACGCAACTGGGCACTTTGGCTACAAGAAGACGAGTGCTAACTTAGTACAACGATTTTGGTGGCCCAGAATGTTAGATGAGGCAAAGAAGTATGTTGAGACCTGTCAAGTCTGTCAGCGGGACAAGCCGCGAACTCAAGCGCCGCTTGGGTTATTGAAGCCTTTACCTATTCCTTATGGTCCAGGATTGAGTGTTTCCATGGATTTCATGGACACTCTTGTGACCAGCAAGAGTGGTAAGAGGCACATTTTCGTCATCATTGACAGATTCACCAAGTACGCTAGACTAATACCAATGYCAGAGACAGCCAGGACGGAATATGTCATCAAGTTGTTCAAGGACAACTGGGTAAGGGACTTTGGTTTACCAAAGACCATCATTAGTGACCGAGACGTCCGATTCACAAGTGAGTTGTGGAAGAGGACTGCGGAACAGATGGGCAGTCAACTTCAGATGACTTCAGGGAATCATCCCGAAGCCAACGGACAGGCCGAACAAATGAATAGAGTTGTACAGCACTTGCTGAGGCACTACATCAAGCCCAGCCAGGATGACTGGGATGAGCAGTTACCTCTCATCGCCAGCCTGTACAACAATGCTATACATAGTAGTACCGGCGTTAGTCCTAACCAGCTGCACTTAGGATGGAAGCCTAGATCAGCATTAGACTTCCTCCTACCTGAAAACCGACCCGCTGCAACTCCAGGCACACTTGAATACGGTGTGCAATACGAGAAATTGTTGCAAGAGGCTGTTGAACATATGAAGAAGGCTCAGCAAGCTATGATTGCTTCTGAGAATCAACATCGCAGACAGTCCACATTTCAGGTAGGGGAACGTGTCTGGGTCAAGGCTAGCGAGCTAGGACAGGAATTCGGAATCTCTCGCAAACTAATGCCTCAGTACTTTGGTCCCTGGGAAGTCTTGGATGTAGTGGGAGATGAGTTTGTGGAGGGTTCAGAGTTTGACGGTGAGGAGAGTGTTGAGGGTAGCAACCTCGCCGCCGTAGTTAAGACTTAGGCAGCTGGCCGCGGCAAGGGCGGTCAACAAAGGAGTCATGAGCAGGCCGCTAACCCAAACAAAATAGTTGCTTGGGTTAGAGCAGGTCTGGATCAAGAAGTGTGGCGGGACCGTTGGTCTCGGGGTGCTTGTATTAACTGTGGTGAGTATGGTCACACACAGTTCAAATGCAAGAACCCGAAGGTCTCGCAGAAGATCCCTCCTAAAGGTGGGTTCCCTTCTTCTCAATCTTGGGCCTCTACGAGCTCCAGATCGGGAAACACTTAGGGCCAGTAGAAGTTATAGCTGCTTCTACTCTCGTTGAAGCGGGTGATGTACCCTCCCCGTTTCAAGAGATGGCCAAAGCTATTGACTTCTTAGTCAACCCGCGACGCATCCGGACCCAACTATACTCTGTACGTTGGATGTGTCTGAGGCCTTAGAGGACCTTCAAGGTGAGTGGTCGGCAAGGGACCCTCATGAGTCCTGGGTGGCACTAAGTAGAGGTCCTAGAGTGGAGCACTTCGTTGTGGAAGTTGATGTGGGCGGTAGCAAGTGCGGCGCCTTCGTAGACATTGGCTCCACACGAAACTTCATAAGTGGCGACTGCGTTGACAGACTGTGCCTAAAGGACCGGGTGCAGCGCCTTAGTAGACCGGTAGCATCTACTTTGGCCAACAAAGAGCGCATGATCGTGGAGGACTACGTTAAAGATATTGTCTGCACCTTCTCCTACCCAGGAGGAGAAATAAACCACAAGATATCATTCCTGGTGAGTGACGAGTTGCCCTTTGACATGTTATTGGGCATGTACTACCTCGAGGTTGCCAAGCCCCAGTTTGACTGGGACAAGAAGGTGTTGAAGCACGAGTTGCCTAGTGGGAGAACCGTGAGACTGGCCAAGTACAAAGTCGGTAGGTTAGTAGACTCCTATGGGTGCTTATGCGCATCTGCCTTTTATAATTATTATAAACAGAACCAAGAGGAAGGAATGTACTTAGTCTATGTCTCTGCAAAAAGGGAGGCCGTTAAAACACCCCCAGAGATAGAGACCATCATCGCTAAGTACCCAGATCTGTTTGAGGAGCCTACAGGAGTCGTAGACAGGGAGATTGTCCATGCCATAGAGATTATCCCAGGTAGTAAAACACCAAAGGGTAGAATCTATAGGATGGCTCCAGCCGAGTTGGACGAACTTCAGCGGCAACTGAAAGAGCTCACAGAGAAGGGTTGGATCCGGCCTAGCACTTCCCCCTTTGGCTCACCAGTATTGTTTGTTCCAAAGAAAGGGGGAACACTAAGGATGTGCATTGGTTATAGAGGCCTCAATGCCATCACCGTTAAGAACGCAGAGCCTCTACCACGCATCGACGACCTATTGGATACGGTGCAGGGGTGTAAGTACTATACAAAGATAGACTTAAAATCCGGCTACCATCAGATTGCCATACGACCAGAGGACCAGCACAAAACTGCATTTCAGACCAGGTACGGTCTGTACGAGTTTGTGGTGATGCCTTTTGGCCTTTGCAATGCGTCGGGTACATTCCAGCACGCCATGAATAGGATCTTCCATGACTACTTAGACAAGTTTGTTGTCGCGTACCTCGACGACATACTTATCTTTAGTAGATCTGTCGAGGAGCATGCTCAGCATGTAGACAAAGTACTTTCACTCATTCGGCAACACAAGTATTAGATAAACTCTGAGAAATGCGAGTTTGGTCGCACTCGAATCTTGTACTTGGGTCATGAGGTATCCGCGGATGGAATTAGGCCTGAAGATGCGAAGGTGGCTAGCATTCGTGGCTGGCCACGACCCCAGTCTGTGACTGAGGTCAGATAATTCTTGGGAATGTGTGGTTATTACCGCAATTTCGTAAAAAATCATAGCACGATTACATCTCCCTTGACTGATCTAACTCGACTCGATACACCATGGGACTGGACCGACGAGTGTGAGGCAGCTTTCAAGCGTTTGAAGCATGCTCTCACGCATCATGAGGTTCTCATGGTACCCGACCCGCAAAGGCCGTTCGTTGTAACCACTGACGCAAGCCAATATGGGATTGGTGCAGTGCTAGCTCAGCAGGAAGGGAAGAAGTTGATACCGATCGAGTACATGAGCAAAAAGATGCCTTCAAAGAAGTTGGCAAAATCACCTACGAGAGGGAACTCTACGCTCTTTACAAGGCACTTGTCCACTGGAGGCACTACCTGTTAGGAAGGTTCTTTTACTTGAGAACTGATCATCAGACACTCAAGTGGATCAAGACTCAACCAGTTTTCTCCGATGCACTCAAACGCTGGATTGAAGTCATAGATTAATATGATTTCAAACTAGACTATTTGAAGGGAGAGTACAACAAGGTTGCAGATGCGTTGTCTAGGAGGGCAAACTACCTAGGTGCGCTGATTCTGAGTTTGGTTTGTCTGAGGGCGTGACTCGATCGTTGGATGAGCCTACAAGGAAGATCCCATCACGATGGACATCATCAACAAAATACAGGCTAAAGATAAGGCCACCACTGATGAGTTTGTGATGGTGGATGGGTTGCTCTTTCTTGAGAAGGCAGGGTTCAAGAGGTTAGTTGTTCCATCTAGAGAGACTTTGCGTAGTTTATTTTTAGGTGAGTGCCACGACGCAATGGGACACTTCGGCTATAAGAAGACGAGTGCTAATTTAGTACAGCGATTCTGGTGGCCCAACATGCTTGACGATGTGAAGAAGTACGCGGAGACCTATCAGGTATGTCAGCGGGACAAGCCGCAGACTCAAGCACGGCTTGGGTTACGCAAGCCTTTACCCATTCCTGCTGGCCCTGGGCAGAGTATATCCATGGACTTCATGGATACTCTTGTGACCAGCAAGAACGGCAAGAGGCACATCTTCGTTATAGTGGATAGGTTCACTAAGTACGCTAGACTAATCGCCATGCCAGAGACTGCGAGGACTGAGCACGTCATCCAGTTGTTCATGGACAACTGGGTGCGTGATTTTGGATTGCCTAAGACTATTGTTAGTGATAAAGATGTCCGTTTCTCTAGTGAGATGTGGAAGCTTCAGATGACTTCTGGGAATCATCCCGAAGCAAATGGACAGGTTGAACAGATGAACCGAGTGGTGCAGCATCTGTTGAGGCATTACATCAAGCCCAACCAGGATGACTGGGATGAGAAGTTACCTCTCATCGCCAGTCTGTACAACAACGCTGTACACAGCACCATCGGTGTCAGTCCTAACCAACTACATCTGGGATGGAAGCCTATATCTGCTCTAGACTTCCTCCTGCCTGAAAATCGAACGGTTGCAACTCCTGGAACCATCGAATTTGGTGTCTAGTATGAGAAACTGCTGCAGCAGACTGTCGAACACATTAAGCAATCTCAGGAGGTCATGATTGCTTCTGAGAACAAGCGTCGTCGACAATCCACATTTCAGGTAGGGGAACGTGTCTGGGTCAAGGGGCTAGTGAACCGGGACAGGAGTTTGGCATCTCTAGGAAACTAATGCCTCGGTATTTCGGTCCCTGGGAAGTCTTGGATATCGTGGGGAATGATTTGGATGGTCCCTCCTACGTTATTCGTATCCCTGGTCACTTACGCACTTACCCTGTTTTCCACGCTTCCAAACTTGCACCTTTCGCTGAGACAGCACAGTTCCCATCACGGAGATCTATGCTGCCCTCAACCATGGATGGCCACGCGGACGTCGACGACATCCTGGATCACAGAGATACACCTGTTCCTAAGCCAACTGGCAGGGGAAGACCTCCCAAACCTGCGAGGGAATACAAAGTACATTTCAGGCATCATACAGATCCGAAGGAAGATCGATGGATTTCGAGGGAGGAACTTGTCAAGACAGCTCCTCAGATCGTGGCCGTTTATGAGAAAAGACTGAAGGGGAAGGCACCAGCATGAAGCATCTCAGCGGACTTTTGAAGCTAAGGGGGATGGAATGTGAGGAACAAGCCGTCAAGTGGCCCTTTCAGACATCACATTGTTCTGAGCCAAGGTCCCAGCAAGCGAAGTGCCCGCCGTAAGTGAAGGCGGGCCTGAATATTCGTCACAGGCCAAATTCGACATTTCCATATGTGGGTATTCAGGCTCTTGCAGCGCGTCAGTTGGTTTAGTGAACGCGCGAGCCTCACTAAGCTGCGCCGTACAGTTGGCCCAGGCCACGAAAGTTGTGCCTGGGCACCTACACACAAAGCAGGGCCGATACATTGAGAAGCAGGCCGTCGGCCTCTGGAAAAGCAGTGCAGCCGACGCACCTACCTGGGAGCCCTGCGCAGATGCAGCTAACAGCCCAAGTCCGGAGACTCAGGCCACGCCCAACTGTAAAGGGCCCAGGCCCTCAACTGTAAGTCTCGGCCTGGGCACAGGGTCTGAAGCCCAACGGGAAGCTACTGGAAGCTTCCAGCCAGGGATGGGGGCACTTGCACTTGCGGGCGGCAGCGGTACTAGGTCGTAGACTCACATGCTGCTTGCTGCGCTAGGTCTAGGTGTGGGTGCGCGTGGGCATTGAGAGGATACAGGGCGCTGCTGAGGGCAGTGCCATTGCACAACCTTCATAGCCATGAGTGTGAGGGTTTACCCCTCCGCATAAGGCCCTGCAGTAGGCGCGTGCCCGCCGTAAGTGAAGGCAGGCCCCCTGAATCTCAATGTGCCTAGAGTTCGTCAATTTTTGTGAATCTTGGTGGGCGCCAAACAGTTGCCACCCGCGAGTTGGTTACATCCGCCTTGCTCGTGAGAATCGAAAATATTTGTGAGCCTTTTAGGCTTTTCCAGCAACGTGGTCGAAGCAAGGAGCACCGCACATTTGTGCCTGGGTGGTTGGGCATACCTAACCAATTCGGTCCCTGACCATTGTCTGAACGGCCTTGGGCGCCGACACTCTGGTCGAGAGTGAAGCTACTGGAAACTCGGTCTCGCATGGGAAGCAAGTGGAAAACGCCCGCCACTTTCCATATAGGAAAGTGGCGGGCTCCGAGTTGGGGATGGGGGCACTTGCACTTGCGGGTGCCAGCGCTACTGGAGGGTAGACTCGCGGGCTGCTTGCTGCGCTAGCGCCAGGTGCGGATACGCGTGGGCATTGAGAGGATACAGGGCGCTGCTAAGGGTAGCGCCGTAAGCCAGACTGGGGCTTGGACTTTGTCAGTGGGTGGTCGTGGTCTTCGCGCATGTGAGGGAAGATGTGGGTAGTAGAAGTCGAGGGTGAGAGAATGAGAGATGAGGTGTGATGATGTGAGGGCACGTACCTGGTCTTGGCGATGGTCTACAGCGTCGACATCTTCATGCACGTCGGTTGTTGCTGCTGACGTTAACCGGACGCATTGTCAATTCGTAGGCTGCTAGTAGTTGTGTAGTAGCGGAATTGGTGCTGAGCGCCAAGTACGAGGAAGGACTCTGGGTACATATGTTGGTGGTGGCGAGAGTATGCTCTCATTGACATTTCGATTTAGTTCTTTGGTTCTCCGTTGGTGTAATATCAATGCATTTCTGCTTTCTGGACAGCATTGGACTTGCTGGCTTTCAATGTAATTCTTTATTTTGGATTCCTGTCATTTCGCTATCGCTCATTTTCCTTGCAATTTGGTGTTGGAGCTGGTTCGAGCCGCTCAACTGGCTCCTTCACAATAGTTGTTTGGTGCTTCGCTAGATATGGTGGGGCAGTGATAACGCTTGTGCATTGGTGATTGGCGGCGTAGGGTCGTGTGGGCGCGGCAGAAAGGCTATGTGGTGACACATGGGGTGCACATGGACGTGGTATTTAAGTCGAGGAGGAACGGCATTGTATTGTGGATTGTGTTGAGGCATCGACCGGTCATCATAAATGCACGTCAGGTTACTGGTGAGAAATTTGTGGTTGGGGGCAGCATCATGAGGTATGTTGTTCGTTACCTTATCCACCCTCTTCATTGCTTCTTACCGTGATGAAGTGAGTTCTGTCTCGAGGGACCTCTCATTGTGAGGTGTCGTGAGCGCTCAACCTTGAGAGTCAACATTCTTCTTGGGGAGCAAGCTGGTGGGTGATGAGCGGTGCCTCTGAAGGGCGCTGGACGAAGCACTCAGGTCACAGTCACCATGCCAACCCGTTGGGACTAGTACACACGTGCTTGGCCGCTAGTACTTGGGTCTGCTCGCTGCACTATAGAGGTCATGTCGGGCAGGGCAGCCCTATGAGGGAGATTCGAGTAAAGAGACTCCGACAGGGATACATGACGCGTGTTGTACGCGAGTATAAAAATAGTTCGGGCTGGCCAGTTCTGCATTGACTTGGGGCACAGGGGTGGGCCGATTGCACACCTTCAGACACGCCGCTGAACCAGAGCTTCAGGACGTTGACACAAAGTGATTATTCAGGAAGAATACAAGAGGAGGGAAGATTCTAATACACTTTTCCATTATTAATTATTGCAAAAATCCATTTTGCATGCACACGAGCAAATGATTTTATTTTATTTTTTGACTAGTTACTAACAAGTTACAGACAACTGCAGATGGGGTAGTAAAATATTCTTGGCTGCATTGCAATCTGTTTCAGACTAGTCAAAAGTAGGAATCTGAGATTATTTGTTATTACCACTTGGCTACTTTATGAAAAAGTTGGACCGAACATTCATTTTATTTTATTTTAATCGGTTGGATGTCATGCTGCGGTAGGTCCTAGCGAGGACCCTAGTGCAAATCGCCTTTCATGCGCTCATGAGTGGAGATGACAGTGAGGTTGAGGGACTAGAGCAAGACAGTAGGAGGCTTACCCAAAGATTTGCACTCAAGTGGCCTACCACTTTCCTAGTGTTAGAACAAGGAGAGGAAAGGAGACTGCGGAGAGAAGCCAAAGTGAGGACGACATTGCAGAGGGCTAGGGAAAAAACGGCCAACGTCGAAAGGGCACTAAGCAGTACTAGCTGCAGACGCTAGAGCCGACGCCGAGGCAGCCATGGCTATTGCCTCTACCATGTTACAGGCCTCATCTCAGTCCTCTTTGTCAGGTGTCAGTTAGGGTATGACCCAGTCTTACGTTAGTGTGTCCGCCAGCCAGCTCAGATGAGGATTATGAGATCCAGCAAACGGATGCTCTCCACGCGGCGCCAGTTGCAGGAGGTAGAGGATGGGAGAGAGGGAGCTAGTCTTAGAAAAGTCAGGCTAGAGTCAAGGGCAGAGGAACTAGGCAAACTCGAAGCTATAGATGAGTCGACTCTTGACCCTGTGGTGCTGTCCCTTCGTAACTCCTTGTTGAGTGTAGCTGATGTGCAGGCCGTACAATAGGAAATGTTGGCTGCACTAATAGCCAGCCAGAATCAGATTTTGACCGCCTCGACCTCCGGTGAGGCCACCCCAGATTGTTGTAGCTCCCCCTACGATTGCAGGTCCAATGTTGACGCTGCCATCGACAGGGCAACCCTTTGCTCGTCAGTTTGGCATGTCCCCAACAGGTGGATTAGCAACAGGTAGTAGTGGGCAGATTCGTGGTCTTGTGGGGAATTGGGGCACTATAAAAGCCAATGCCCAAGGCTGCAAGGGCGATCGGGGAACAGTGGAGGAACCGTGTCTCTCAATAGAGAACTGGAAGATTCACCGAGCTCAGTTGGAAGGATGATGAAACAACTACTAGAGCAGCATAGGGAAGCCGAGGATGCCAAGCGTGAGGCGGAGACTCGAAGGGCGAAAGAAGACACAGAGAAAGCGGCAAAAGAGGAAGAGGCAAAGCGTTTGCTGGAAAAGAAGTTGGCTAAGGAGGAGAAGGAGGAGAAGAGACAATGGGAGATTCGTAAGCTGTTAGCGGAGCAAGTAACGGAGTACGACTCGAAGGGGCTCTGAAGGCCGGCGACTCACTAGCTAATCTAGGATCAAAGAGATACCGGATGGTTCACGAGGTAACATACGCCGTAGAGCGATTGATTGTTGTCCCTGGCGTTTGGTACGCAAGTACTCCTCACAACGTATTTGCGATGTCTGCCTACAGATGTCAAGCATAAGTTGGTCGATGAGGCCTGCATATATGTGCATAACTTCGCCTTGTTCAACAAGAAAGCCCTAGACATAGAGGCTAAGCTTGGGAGTGCCCAACAAGGACCGGTTGATGGGAGAAAGAAGAAGCTTCCCCAGGATTGGAGGAAGAAAGGCAATCTTATGTTCGTTGACATGATGGTAAAGCAACTGAGATTGATGACTTCTCTGATCTTGGGGAAGAAACAAGGATAGAAAGGCTTGGGAAGACTTCAAACGGTGGAGTAGCCACACCCATTAGAGAAAACGGTAAGGGGTCCGGAAAACAAAAGGTAGGCCAACCCAAAGGTCAAAGTGACGAAGGACCACCCCTATGGGTGAAGCTTGGTCTGGAGTATGAGGTGTGGCGAGTCTGTGATGTGCGAGGCGCTTGCCTAAATTATGGCCAATACGGGCACA